CAAACCATGTGTGTTACAACTAACCCCGCGTTACTTTGTGCCCCATGCTCCCCTATGATTTGTAGTCACCAAATATAACTTTATTTGTTTTAAGATTATTAGACATTGTGGTGCCTCAAAAGTCTGTGTGTGAAGTCGCTGACTGACCTGGCAGAGGTCACCTTAAGTTTCAGACACAGAAAATAAGTCAAGAAAGAGATACTGGAAATGCAAGGCTGAGTGCATTGCATTGTGGAATAGAGTATTCCATGCTATGAGCTCTGTTGTGTATTACACATTTTGACAAATGTAACTTAATCATCTTTAACGTTCATCTCAATGTCACCTAAATGTACTAATCACTATCATACATCATAACTACTGCCGTGAATACCAAATCTGCATAACACAGAAAACACTCCGATAGAAATGAGCTAGATAACACTATAGTGATGATGGCATCTTAAAACTTGGTGAGCTACCTACCTGAGTCTTACCTGTGATCTCAACACAATCAAGCTTTAACTAAGTTAGATACTGTGGTGGTACGATGGTGGTAGTGCCATTGATCTTGATATGTAGCCTACTGTGCACTGGCGACAACTAAACTGTGCATTTACTTTATTTTACATTACTACTGTACAGATAATCCATATATTGTTGATTGTGGTCATTGTCTTCTTGTTTCATCAGTAAAAATGTCTCTATCTGCATTTTTTATACAGCGATAGCTTGTTTTGTTCATGCTTACAGTCATACCACCCTGAGCGTGCCCGATCTCGTCATATTAGTGATAGAAATAGGAAATCATGTCACACAGGGTAAAGGTCTGACATCTGTTTTCTCAAGAAACACTTCTTGCTCTTTTTCTCAAGAAACGCTTGTTTTTTTTCCAAAATTGTTCTTAAATAATCAACAAAGAAATACAATTTAATTTCTTTGTAACTTATACGACCACTCAGAACACTGACTCTTAGAAAATATGCTCAAATGTACTGCAGGGTAGTTTGTTTTAACGGGCTCTGTATCATTTGCTGAACTATTTACTCATATTCACTCAGCAATCATTAATTTCCCTCACATTACCACTTCATGAGAAATTAATTAAAACAGCATTTCTTCCTAGTAGAGATGCAAGTTGTTGTTTTTTTCCAAGAAGAAATTAAACAGCAACAATTCTATATGATTCTATATATGAATATTATAGTAAATAAATATTTACAGTGCACTCTGGTATGAATGAAACATACATTACAGATGTTTAGCAGTCAGTAATGTTGACATCATACTATTTTGGGTAAAAATAGGAAAAGTAATATTTCTCTTTAAAGAAACTTGAAGTAAACATATGAGAATCCATACGTTTCCATAAGAATCCATAGGCTCTGAGAGATGTTGTATAGTAAAGGGCTTTGTTGTAGTTTGTTTCTCAGTGGATGCATATGCTCATATTTCATATTAAAGGCATTGACTTTGAATAGGGTAAAAATGTAATTAATATATACCACCATACTTTTTCCAGTTGATTGATTATATTAAGAATTGTAAACATTTTTTGTATTACACGTTTTCTGAAATGTTAGGTTTAAATATGCAAATTACATATAATTAAATATGCAATAATTTGCATACATTTCCAAAACATTAATCTGAACATTGGATAAATACTCTTTTTTACAGAGGGGATTTTGGATATCTCAGAAATAGTAATTGTTTTATTTTTGTCTAGATACATTTATTGAGAACATGCACAAAGGTATAAAATATACAAAAGCATTGGAAGTATCAACAAATGTATTATTATTATTATTATTATTATGTAATTTTATTAAATACTCTATTTTTGTTTTATACTTTTTTGTTTAATAGTTCTATTTAGTAATAGTAATATTTTGTGATTATATAATAATAATAATTATTTGTATTATTATTATTATATAATCAGAGAATTTAAATTTTAAAAAAATTGTAACACATCAAGTGGTTATGAAAGCATTAGTGTTGTACCTATAAGTTTTTGTTCACTTTCTAAATTTTATTATCTTGTTTCATTACGTTGCTTAGAAATGTTTGTGTGATGTTCCTCCAGTGTTCTAGAAAGCAAATGCTCTGTACAGTTTTTTTTTTGTTGGCTGTCCACTGTCAGACAGTTTCTCACAGATGATGATCTCTTATCTTCTGCAAGCACATTTTTTCTACATGACACCTCCTGATTCTTACATATTTTAGTTATTTTTTT